CCAGGTCAACTATCACCTCTTCTTGACAGTGTTTCCCAACACCTACTCCACTACCAGCAGCAGCCATCTTGGGAGACGGGTTGCATCCTTTGCTGCGCTCCCACGGTATGTGGCACTATTTTTAAGGAATCCATTATGGTTTTTTATGCACATGTCTGCCTCCCCCACTAGAACGTCAGCTCCTTGAGGGCAATTTTTTAAGTCAAAATTAATGCCCAAATGAATTCAAATTCATGGAAACTTAATATGACAGGAAAGGTAGGTCATGCAGGTTCTGGGTGACATCCTGTCTTTATTCAAAATTTCAATATTTTGTTCATCATGGACTTTTTGCATCAGTGTTAATTTTTTTAAATATTGCATTAAAATATTTATCCTGGGCCAGGTGCAGTGGCTCATGTCTATAATCCTAGCACTTTGGGAGGCCAAGGTGGGAGGATCACTTGAGGTCAGGAGTTCGAGACCAGCCTGGCCAACATGTTTAAACCCCATCTTTACTAAAAATACAAAATTAAATAAACAGCTAAATATGGTGGCACATACCTGTAATCCTAGCTACTTAGATGGTTGAGGCATGAGAATCACTTGAACCCGGGAGGTAGAGGTTGCAGTGAATCAAGACTGTGCCACTGCACACCAGCCTGGACAACAGAGTGAGACTCTGTCTGCAAATATATATACATATATATATATATATGTGTATATATATATATATATATATATATATATATATGTATATGTATATATAGTGTGTGTGTATATATAATAGTTTTTATATATAATACATCTACAAATATATAATTATATATAAATTATATAATAAAAGTTATATAAACATATACTTATGATTTATCTTGATGACTGAATTTGTTGGTGCCCCCTTAGATTTGTCTGCAGTGAGTGCCTCACTCTATTCACTCTAGTCTTGGCCCTGGATTAGTAACCAGCAGCTATGGCAGTGTAATCTGGGTTTCTCTCATTCCAAACCGTACTGCTTCCAAAGATCAAAAAGACCAGACAGTAGTATCCAACTCCTGGAGGAGTTTGTATTGTGACAGCTGACCATGACAAGTAGGTGGGCAGTTACAACAGAAGTGACATCTACCACCACGGATGTGACTACAGGGGCTGTGTACAGAAAAGTGAGTGGCTAACCTTGCCCGAACCCATCAAAAGAGGAAAGGCTTGAGTGTAAAGAATTTCCCTGATGTGGATCCACCCACTCGCCTTGGAAGGCAGCAGCAGCTATAGCAAATTTCAGACAACTGTTCATCTCTCTAAAAACTAGATTATAATTGTCTTTTACCTTTCGTATGTTTCCCGTTACATTCTAAGCATCTTAGGACAAACGCTGAGTGGCATTCAGCTGAAGCTCAGTAAGTGCGGGTGGAACGTATGACTGTATGGATGAATGAATGAGGAGGAGTGACTATAACATCACTACCCTCCCCCCCCCCGCCTTCTGTATACAGAGGGAGCAGCAAGGCTTCGCGTACCACGGTACTGTACGGGGACATTTGTTGACAGACAGCAGGATACAGCCACACTAACCTCTCCCGGGAGGCATTCTGACAGACTGATGCCAGGGGCTTGGGCAAGTGCACAAACGTGGACCCACACAACACTGCCTTTGAGCAGTGTGTGGAGCGTGGCCTCTGCAAGGCATGTGCTCTAAAGAGCCTCCAGTGCCCACCAGGCAGACAGACGGCACTGGCCTGGGAAAAGTCTAGCTCTATGTCCACAGCAATAAAAATACCATCTGCAGCCACACTGGGCAGGGCTGGAGACACACCAGGGGAGGAGGCAGCACGGGATGAGGGCGGAATAAGAAGCCACTGTCAGATCAGACCACAACAGAGGACAACTACATGAGCCACCTCTCTTTCCTGAAGAAGGCAGCCCTGTTCCTAGATGAGCCTGGTGTCCACATAATAAATGTGTGACCTCAGCAACTAGCTCTCCTTCCCCATCTGTTAATTGGGGGTGAAAGTTCCCACCTGGTTATGAGAATTAAAACAGGTACAAAAATGCTTCCCTAGTGTTAGTACCCAATAGGTACCTAATAAATATTAGCTCTAGTTTTTAACAGATTTTAGAGTAGTTTTAGTTTTACAGCAAACTTGATAGGAAGACACATTTCCCACATACCCCTTGCCCCCACACACATTGTCCCCCATTATCACTAACCCCCACCAAAATGGTACATTTGTTATAACTGATAAACACGCATTGACTCATCATTACCCAAAGCCCATGGTTTACATTAGGGCTCGTTCTTGGTGTTATACATCCTATGAGTTTAGAAAAATGTACAATGACATGCCTCCATTATTATAGTATCATCCAGAGCAGTTTCACTGCCTAAAAACCCTCTGTACTACTACTATTCATCATCCCTTCCCCAACCCCTAAAAACCACTGACTGCTCCGTAGTTTTGTCTTTTACTGCCTCTATAGTTTTGTCTTTTTATCAATTCTATTTTGGATCTGCCTTCTCACCCAGAAAAATAAAATATGGCTTCTAATTAATTATCACTGGGGGTTTCTCAGAGGTGAAAATGTTGTGCTACATAGAAAGACACAGCCAATCCACTCGTGTTCCTCCTTAACGGAGCCCCAGAATAAAACCGAGCACTGCCAGTTCTCCAAGTGACTAGATCTGTAGTAGACTGTTTCATCATCCACATAGTGGGGATAACAGCAGTGGGAATTAACAGCTCTTTGAAAAGCATAAAATTAATTGCAAGTTTGCTCATTCATTCATTGATTGGGTCCACTCTTATGAACCTCTTGTAGGCCAGATACTGTGAGCCCCTAGCTCATGTAGTGCTGCAACAATTCTACAAGGCAGAAACTGAGCTCAGATTGGTAACAGGATGTTCAAGGTACCAAAGGTAAGAAAAGACAAAGCTAGATTTGACCTAGCATGTGTCTGGCTCCAAAGCCCCAGATTATTCCATTACTAGCAAGCAATTCGTATGTTGAACAAGGCAGCAAGTTCTATGCCTGTAACAGTAAAAACCAATAATTTTTCAGCCCTGCCCCAGTGAGTCACAAAGGAGGTGATATTTGAGCTCCATCTTTGCAGCAGGAGCTGCTGGTGCTGCTGGCCCAGGTCTCCTCTACCCAGTGGGCATACCCATCCCCCAGATGCTTTTCCAGAGAACTGCTTGTAGCAGACAGAAGTCAGCTAGCCGGACAGTGCCTCAGAGGTTATGTCCCCTCCCCATTCATCAAAAACCCAAGAGCAACCCCTCAGTCAATACCTGGCTGATTCAGAGTAGAAAAGTCTGATTCCCTGGCTTCCAGCGTGCTCTGCACACTCCGGAGCTCCTTATGGGATCAACGTGAGGCTGGATCACCTGTCAATCAATTGAAGCAGCTGAAACCATTGCCTTGACTGGCATCATCCCGCCTTATCCTGTGTCCTTCAGTTCCTTACAGGCTTTTCTTCCACGAGCACTTGCTCACTAAGCCACAAGGATAACTATCCCCATTACAGGGCTACTTCTAGGAACCTGACCCAACACAATCTTAGGGATGAGTGGAAATGATTTTTAATTAAGAAAAACAAGAAGGGCATTTCAGTAAGAGGAAATGTCTTTGATGAAAAAAACGGTTAAAACTTGGGTCTGACACAGCAGTATTCACTGAGAGAAAAATCAGTCAAAACATAATAAAAAATATTTCAAACTTCAAGGTGAAGAGGGGCTCGCAGAGTTCTGTAAGAATGGAGGGGTTCGATGAGGAGAGATCTCATAGGATTGTGCTTGAAAAAGAGGTTCCTTGTCCTAGCAGGACCAAGGGAGATTCATTGGATTAGAAGAGAAAGCCTAGAAGTGGGAAAATTGGATGTAAGAGGTGTTATCCAAATGATTTCTTCATTAGAATCAGGGAGCATCCTGGAAAGGAGCATAGTATTTTTAAAAACTGATAACTAAAAATGTGAAACATTCATATTCTTCCAATTTTAATGTGATCTGTTCTTGATGACTGTCTCTCTTTCCAGTGATGATTTCTTCAAGGTCTCAAGGGTGAAAATTATCTTAAATCCAATTTTCCTGGGAGTCCCCTGCCTGCCAAGCCCTGTGCTGGGCACTGGTCCCTATCCTTGCTGCACCTACAGTCTGGTGGACTTGAGACCATGTGACAGCTGCCTCGAAGATTAGAAACAAGCCAGCAATAATCTTTTCCTTCATCATGCCAGCCCTTCCCCAATTTGTAATGATATTTCTCATTTAATGCACTCTCATCCAATGTGTCACTGATTAATAGCGTAATTTGGGCAAGACCAGAGAGTCCTGAGAACCCAATGTTTGTATAAGGGCTGATGCAATTTAAAGACCATGAGCTCCATCATCAAAAAAATACGGAATCCAATTCCAGTTCTGTCTCTTGGTGGCTGTTTGCCCTAGACAAATGTGTTAACCTCTTTTGAGTCCCATTTTCTCCTCTAAAAATTAAGGACTATAATATCTACCTTTTAACATGTTTGAAGGAATGAAGCAGTACCAAAGAAATAGAGTTCTTAGAACAATGCCTGGCTCAAAGTAGGCACTCAACAAATGGAAACAACTGTATCACCATTATTTAAATACTGCTGCAGTGATTCCTAACTTTGGACCAAGGGGATACACTGATCTCTAGCTGGCATCTTCATCTGGCCTTTCATCATCTGATTTGCCAACCACCTGTGTCACTTGAAGGGCGACTGTTAAAAACGAATGTCATCATGTGCCATGAGAGCTGGCATGCGGTTTCAGGACAATTATGGCTCAGACAGGCCATGTGGCATCTGAAAAACGCATAGGAAATATGTATCCTGGTGTAATACTCTGTGAGCCTTTGTCCTCTCTGCTGTTTTACTTTCAAAGCAAGAAGGTGACATCTGTCCATGTTCCACCTGCCTGGGATGTCAGAAACAGAGCAAACGGGTAGGGCCCCATACCAGAAGAGCCCAAGCATCTCAGCTGCACTCAGATGCCAGGAATTTGGGGAAAATGGGCGTGACCACCTACCCCAATGCCCTGCAAGTCCTCCTCCAGGCCTTCTGCAAGAAGAGACAGAAACCTAGGAGGCCATTACTGCAGCCCCTTCCTCCCATCAGGATTCCAAGGTCTGGGGCTTCAGTATCTCTGCCAGTTTAGCTCCAAGAAAGTTGGCATCTGAAATCTCAAAGCCCTGGTACATCCCCCTCTGCTGCCTTATACAGTCACTCCCCAAAGTCCTGTTGAGCAGCTTTTAATACCTCAACAAGAAACCACATTTCTGCCAGGTGCAGTGGCTCACACCTGTCATCCCAGGACTTTGGGAGGCTGAGGTGGGTGGATCACTTGAGGTCAGGAGTTCAAGACCAGCCTGACCAACATGGTGAAACCCCATCTCTACTAAAAATGCAAAATTAGCCCAGTATGGTGGTATATACCTGTAATCTTAGCTACTTGGGAGGCTGAGGCAAGAGAATCCCTTGAGCCCAGGTGGCAGAGGTTGCAGTGAGCCAAGATGGCGCCATTGCACTCCAGCCTGGGCAACAAGAGCAAAATTCCGTGGAAGGGAGGAAGGGAGGTAGGGAGGCAGGGAACCAACAAACCACACTTCCTTGTACCTTACATGGACCACAGCAGCCTTATGAGGTCTCTCCTGGACACAGACAGGGAAAAAACTGCAAACTCCTACCCTATCATTAGGGCCCCCTTTATGAACCTTCTGGGAAGCAGCAAATGTTTATATCTTGATCTGAGCAATGTTAAAGGCGATGGATGTGTATGTAAGTAAAAATTCATCCATCCAGCTGTACAGTAAAGATTCCCAGTACCATTTATGCACCCTACCATATATATGTTATTCCTCATTGGAAAAGAGTTTTTAAATGCCACTTAAAAGTTCTGTGTGTATAGTTGGGAAGAAAAAAAGATTACGAAGAACAAAAGCCAGGGTAACATAAAAATGGGGAAACAACGAACATTACCCATACTTGGTGACTTAGGAAAGAGGGTGTTAAACATGAGTGGCAGGGGAGATAAGAAAATCATGTGGATGTGAGGAAAACCAGACTCTCACCCAGCCAATTAAAATGTTTGGAAAAAAAACCTAAAATAGTAGACTCTGTACTAAGCCTTGCAGACTGATTCTAGCTGGACTTTACCCCTGAATGATGGAAGGAGGCTTTCTATACTGGGGCAGCAGAATACCATGTGCTTAAAAAACACAGTGGACAATGCTTTGTCATTTACCTGGTCCCCCAGCTCAAGATAATCTGCAAAGTACCAGCTCCTGCCATGTTGAGACAATATCCATGTCTTTAAGCCAAACCCAAATTTCAGTGTAGACGGGACCCATGCGGACATGTGTCAAATACTTCCAAAATATATCATTGGACTCTCAAGATTCCATTTACTGTCATTAATGAAACAGGCCACATTATAATGCAGTGGGTTTCCCATTCAGAGGGGAATGTGAATACTTCGGAAATTATGTTGAGAAGGGGACTCCAGTCCGAGGAAGAATCTTTCTCTTCTCAAAGAGCTGATGTTTTATGGCCTCCTGATGCTATGTGAGGAAAGCCATGGAGGGAATTAGAACCACAAAAGGGTGAGGGCCTGACCCTGTTCACTGACTGTCATTCCAACCAACTTTTCTTCAATGCCAAGGTCTAGTTTGAGGCAAACTTTTTGAGGCAGGGTAGGTTGGTGGGGAAAAAAAAAAAAATTATATTCGGAGAACAAGTTCACATTCCCAAATGTTTGCTTGCACCTGAACAGGAACACCAAAATGAATGAAAGGTAGTGTCATGTATTAGGAAAAGAGTGATCCAGGAGTTGGGCCTTTTCCAAATCTTGGCTCTGACACCTGTTCTGTTTGACCTTAGCCTGCCTCTAGCCCTCTCTGGTCATCAATTTCATCTGCCATAAAATAAGGCAATTACTTTTTTCCAAAATTCAGTCATGTAAGCCCCATCTTTGCTGTTTTCCAGGCCACATTGTGATTTTTGTCACATCCACATGTCATCTGCACTGTTTACATTTTCAGTTACAGTTGCCTCACTTCCTCACATTTTTTTCTTGAAATTGACTTTAAAAAGGAAATTTTAGGCTGGGCGCAGTGACTCACACCTGTAATCCCAGCACTTTGGGAAGCTAAGGAAAGCAGATCACGAGGTCAAAAGATCAAGACCATTCTGGCAAACACGGTGAAATCCCATCTCTGCCACACAAAACTTAGCTGGGCATAGTGGCATGCACCTGTAGTTCCAGCTACTCAGAAGTCTGAGACAGGAGAATCGGCTTGATCTCAGGAGATGGAGGTTGCAGTGAGCCAAGATCACACCACTGCACTCCAGCCAGGCAACAGAGCAAGACTCCATCTCAAAAAAAGAGGAAATTTTATAGAATTACCATGGATAGAAATCACTATCACTTGTTTGAACAGAGGCAGTGATGAATAATAATTTATGAACAGAGGTAGTGTTCATAAATAGAATAAAGAAGAATGATGCTTTTAATTATCTCTGAAAAGTGCTGCCTGTTGAGGACTGGCTGCCTGAGATTCACTCTCTCCTTTTGAAGCAGGGAGATTAGTAAATTGTAGCTATGTTGAGGACATTCCAGCACGCACCTGAGATTTTCCTCTTTTCTAATCAAAAAGATTGAGCGAGAACTTAGAAGAGAATAACTTCTCACTACAGAACTCAAAGTTAATATCCTACTATATCATCTAAATTATCTCAGTACTCCTGTGGGGTAGCAAACAATTGATAGTATCTAAGGTCTTCTCCTGCACTGATATCCCTTTTATGCCTTCCTATAGAGAAAGAATGATCATAATTACTGGAAAATCTGAGATACAAACTATTCTGAGAAATAATGTCTTTCAATATCCAAACAGAAATGTTGTCAAAACATTTTCCAATTAGGACCTTGAACACATATTAAGAAACAGATAGAAATGATATGTGACTTGTATGGTCATCATATATTTTCAAATAAACACTTCCAAATGGTTTGGCAGTGCCTAAACCATTGTTCATCCTCTTGAGTAACTTAAACACTACCCCCCTAAAATCTTGTTTACACCATTGATCTGCTTAATGAGGCATTGCCAGGCAGTAAATAAATTTAGCCAGAGCCTATGTCATCAAATTAACACAGCTTCAAAATTAGCGAAGTTCAAATGACTCATGATATCAGAGATATTATTACAAAAACAGATATCAATGGATGTTACAGCCATGTATTTATTATAAGGAATTAGTTGGATTGACATGGCAAGGCCTTTGTTATAGGACTCTCCAAGGGATTCACTTCTTTGGAACTATTTAAATGTGATAATACTTAGTTGGACACAAATCAAATGAAGAGGGAAAAAGCCTTCAAATATCTTTGAATGATCTTACATTAATTGATACGTGTAGCCTCTCAAATGTAGCAGAATATTCACTAATCTTAGTTTTTTTCCTTCCTAAGTTTTTTGCCTTTTTGCTTCGCTAATTATTTATGTGATCTTGGAGAAGTTCCTTTCTCTTTCTGGAATTAATATCCCACATTTGTTTTTAAAAGGGTTGGAAGTTGGACTGGAGCAGAAGTTAGAATACTTTTTCTGTGAAGGAGCAGATAGTAAATATTTTCAGCTTCATAGGCCATCTGGTCTCTGTTACAACTCAGTCATTACAAGAAAGCAGCTGCAGGCAGTATGTAAATGAATGAGCATGACTGTGTCCCAATAAAACTTTATTTACAAAAACAGATGGTGGGCCAGATTTGGCCCATGGGCCCATAGTTTGCCTTTCTTGGACTAGAAGATCTCTGATTTCCAGCCCTGACATTGTCTTTGTGTTGAAGGGAAGACATTTGCCCAAAGTCTATCATTTGACAGAGCTGGATTGAAACCTGGGTCTCTAAATTTAAGTTCAGAAATCATTTCCCACAGCAGACTACCTGATCAACCAACAAACCTGCAACTACAAGACAAAACATCAAGTAACTATGGTCACTTAGTAACTGGCATCAGAGGCAAGAAACAATGATTTATGCCATGGCTGCATTTCATTCGTCCACTCATTCACTTGTCTATTCATCCATTTAGACAAATATTTGACAGAAAATTGACAAGGCAGGCAATAAGCAGTTAAAATAAGCCACATTGTCCCTGCCCTCATGCAACTTACAGTCCAGTGGGGGAAAGATACAATGAAAAAAAAAAAAAACATTAACTACATCATTATGAACAATGCTAAGAAGATGCTAAGAAGAAAAAAAACATGGACAAAGGATAGAAGATTTAAGTGGGAGTGTCCTCAGGTACAGGAGTCAGAAGAGGCTTCTGAAGAAGTTTGTAGCTGAGCCGGGAAAGTTGGGAAGAAGCCATGGGAAGAGGAGAAGAACTTCATGGGTTCAAGGAACTGAAGGAAAAAAAAAAAGCCTAGGTGTTGGAGTCAAAGAGCTGACATCCAGGAAGGTCATTCCCCAGTGTGACCCCCCCCCCAGGTTCACCATCAGCAGAATAGAAGAGCCAATACCTTCCAGGGATGAAGCCATGATGCTGGGGTTCATGTCCTCTCCTCTTTTAATGATATATGAGTCCATTTTCACACTGCTATAAATATAATGCCCAAGACTAGGTAATTTATAAAGGAAAGAGGTTTGATTCATAGTTCTGTATGGATAGGGAGACCACAAGAAACTTCCAATCATAGCAGAAGGTAAAGAAAAAGCAAGTAACTTCTTCATAAGGTGGCAGGAAAGCAAAGAATGAAGGAGGAACTTTCACTTATAAATCCATCAGATCTTGTGGGAACTCACTATCATGAGAACAGGATGGAGGAAACTGCCCCCATGATCCAACCACCTCCCTCTCTTAACACATGGGGATTACAGGTTCCTTCCTCAGCATGTGGGAATTACAATTTGAGATGAAATTTGGGTAAGGACACAGAGTCAAACCATAGCACATGAATACAAGACCAGTAGCAAGTTGCTTAACTATCTTATGACTCCATTACCCTGCCTAAAAGCTGGCATGATAATAACGATACCCACCTCACTGGTAAGTGGTGGTAGAGAGGTTTAATGAGGTCACCCTGAAAGTGCTTAATAAACATACACTGTTGTCAGGATCAGA